AGGCTGAAGTATCCATCAAACATATTAGAAATTCCGATGCGCATTTTTACCTCCAGTAGTTCCGCTATCTGCTTCATACGACTTTTAACGAAGTCTAGAACATTAATTTCTCTAGAACGCACTTCTACTTTTTCACCTTTTGTGTGCTGTGAATTTTCATCACGACTCATTCTTTTATTAAACGACTCAACCCCTGAAAGCCGATATAGCGTAAATATTTAATACAACAAGCACTCATCATTTCTTAAAAACCCTTGATCATCTCCAAAGCCGGACGGGAATTGAAATCAACTTCTGTTACACTAGGTACATTTATTTCACTCCAAATTAAGCAAATTGTAGCAAGTTCACGACTAGGAAACGGTATAATATAGAGAAAAGTAAACCACAAAGGTAATAATTTTATTTTTCATACTTTGAATAATACTTCACTTTAGGTACATAACAATTATTATGAATGAAAGTGCAAAGCTATTTCTACAATCTTCTGCAAATACAGCAGCTACTGATTACTGAGCTCAGATTCAACACTACTTTTGTACTTCGACAACCGTCCCTGTTGTTCCGCCCGTCTTTCCTCGAATAAAAGAGATTCCTGAAACCAAATAAAATCTAGAGTAAACATCTTGAAGCAAGTGCAACTTTTTTTATGACTATGTGCTTTTTTCCGCCCAAATTAAAAACAAAAAACATAAATCCATTTCATACACGTCAAAGCCTCTATACCGTCTAAATCGTTCCAAAATCAAGACTTTGTCAGTACAAGAGGAAAGAAGCAAAACAACCAGCCTCCTTAAATGGGTCTTCAACTATTTCTTTCACCAACTTCTTCTCAAGCTCCAAATCATCTTTGAATTTTTCTTGAACTACGCGCTTCTTGGTGACAGGATCGATGACGTTTCCATATTTGAATACGACCTTCTCAACTGAATGAGATATAGTAGCTGCAACTCTTGAGTTCTTGTCTACCTTCCGTATTAACACATCGTCTCCGAGACCTTTGAAAAATTTAACTGTTCAACGGCTTATTAATCTAACAGCTTAACAAAGACCCAAACAATAAAAATGTAACTCTTACAAATGTTAAGAAACAACTTACCACGAATAATCCTAAAAAAGCTTAAGAAATCCAAACATACTACATGACCACGCTAATGAAAATCCTCCTGTTGTACTCATCTTACTACTACTTCACCAACTAAATTTGAATGACTTATAGAAGAAAAACGTTTCCTACCATACAAAACTTTCATGACCGACAACGAACATTTTTCACCCGGTAGGGTAATTACAAAATTTACTTGCAACTCACTTATCCAAATATATTTTATCGATAGGAAAAAGTAAGTTAAACATTATCCAAAATTAATCACAAAAGCCAAATTAATAAAAACCGATCAAGCTTCTTTGTAAGAAGTTTCAAACTAGCGTTTAAAAACAACTGAAGAAATAAAATACACGGGAAGAAGATGCACATGAAAACTAAATTTATAAAATGAAATACCAGAAATGCCATTAGAATCTGTCGCCCAGTGGTCGTCGTGGTAAGTAAAATACTTTTTGAGGTACTTGTCAAATTCATTTAAACGACATCTTACCTAAAAAATAAGCTGACTACCACGCAAAAATAAATATAAAATAATGTTTCAAAAGCCCCATTTAGCAACTGCTGATAAAATTTTAAAACTAACCTTAACACAGTTAATCTCATCACGACCAACGCGACTGGTCTGCACTACCTTACCTAATAATAAGTCGCCGCTGACTTCAGACTTCAGAACATCCGTAGACAAAGCCTAAGCGAACAACTATTCAGAAAACAGATAAAAACCACCCTATGCAACCCCACAAGAAACATTCAAACCTCGACTCGACTAAATCTGGTTCCTTCCAAAAATACAGTAACTTAAAGTGCAATCCCGCAATTAAAATGCATAGAGCTTACGCGAACTGTCCTTACATGGACGACTGCTGCGCGAATCAAACGCATCTGACCATCAAAAACCCGGCCTAAAAGTGCTGTAAAACAAAAACTAAGGTTAGGTGTTGTCAGGTCTACCAATGCACTGATGCTTCCCCTCAAAATTCGGTTGAAAAAAGCGTCAAATTTTAAATATCAAGTTTCCGCCAACTCGTCAGGATATGCAGAGCACAAAAACGTCTACTTATAAACCTCCTTTGTTGATCGGGAAGTCTCAGATAGTTTTTTCCACAATAACAAGCATCCCACTTCCAGTTAAAAAATGCTACACAACACAGATGACGTAAAATATTTTTACTGGCAACAAACTAGAAAGCGTACAAGAATAAAACGCATAAAATTATGTAAACTCCAGCAAGTCTGAATTAAACAAATAATACAACAAAAACTCAAGTTCTTTTCAGGTAACTAAATAGTTTTAAAATTAGAATATCCGCATTGAAGATCTTTAATTTTACACTCCAAAGTGAAGTCTTTGACATCCAATTCGGTAACTCGAGTAACTGCTGAAGTGAACCATAGCAAAATGAGCAAAAAGATGACAGAATATAGTCACAGAGCATTACAAAAACGACATGAGAAAAGCATAAAAACAAGCAACGCATTACAGTGAAGAATACTTCTAAGTACAGAAAAATATAAAACTAAAATAAATGAAAGAAACAAAAAACTTATTCCTCACCATAAAAGCATTTCATAACCCAGGTCAGGTGTCTAATCAACCGGATACTTATAATCAAAATATAGAATTAATAAGGATACCAAGACCTAGTAACGAAATTACGTTAATAACCCCTTCAACAAAAAACTTTTTTTAATATAACCCACAGCGCACAGCGCTTATCTCAAACTGTCCAAAAATTATTGACGCAAAATCCCTCTGTGATTAATACAAGTCAACGTACTGCCTTGACAAACTGACTGCAGTAGTTGACCAGGGAACTAAACTACGATAAATAAAAAATGGTGAAACATAAATTAGAAAAAACTTATTAGACTCCCTTCAGAACTAAAAAAATCATATCACAAATTCTCAAACATGATACACTACACAAATAACAAGTCAAACGTACCAATCGCAATACCATGTAGTGTTACGAACAATTTACTAGGTTTTCTGCTCTTAATAAATCATGAGATTCAAGTTTTTGAAAAGCCATGGAACGTAACTCTTTGTCCAAATTACCACACATGTTTTAACATAAAAATCAATTAAGGACGAGCAAAATCACCAAAAAAGACCATAAAGCAAAAGTAGCATAAACTTCATAACCCTTTATCAGCAAGTGCGAATTCTGAACTATTTTAAAGATAGAGCATAAAAATTGATCTTACAAGAAAAAGTTGATACAATCTAAGCAAAAAACTGAACTCAAATAATATAAACAAAGTGAAGCAGAACTTCTGACAAAACTTTCTTGAAAAAGCAAGGGTCAAATTCCAGCGCATTAAAGCATGAACAGTTCAAAACAGAAAGAACAAAATTTTCAACGACACTCCCAAACCTTAATAGTCATATCAACACTTGAGGTTACCACATAAGGTAATGTCCGGTGGAAATCTATAAAAAATTTATCAAAAAATTGAAGCATACCACACCTACTTGTCTGGAAAAAAAAAAAACAAAAATTAGATCAATTATGGGTAGATAAGGAAACCTGTTTTCACAAAATATTTTAAGCACATCTAATATCAAATGAAACCCCAAAAACAGCAAGTCCGCTTACCAAGTGACGTTACAAAATGTTTGTGGGCATCAATTGTTTTTGAACATCTTTTCTGCGCAACAGCCCATATACGCATAGTTTTGTCATCGCTGACCGAAACCAAATATTTTCCACCTGGATGAAAACGCAGTCCTCGCACCCAGTTATCATGACCCAACTGAAAAATAAGAAACTTGACCTTGAAAATTATACAGCGGAAGTCTGACGAAGTCTATAAGTTGCAACATTCTAGCCTTAACAAAATAGAATCGATGTTCCGCACACCCAACTTTTATTAGATGGTGAGTTTTATCGCCTTTGAACATTCCAAGTCGCTGTCATAGCGTTCAAAAAAACTACATGCTTACAATATAACAAAGAACC